TCCGCGTGCTGGTGATAATAAACCACGCCCAAGTCAATAAACACTAACTAAAATGGGTGGAGAGTCCCAAAATATGGCGAGGCACTAGTTTCTGTAAAAAACCGGTAAAGCAGCTCCAAAGAGACCAAGTGCTTAGTGACACAAGAAGAACAACAGCTCAAGAACACTGCAGCAATGTGCTTTTCTTCACTATCGCGCCGTTTTCAATTAAAATAACACCTCAGTTTCCATGGTTTTTTATTGAAATTTTTTTATGACCGCGAATAATTGCAGCCGCGAATATATCCCGACCTACGGTACCATATTAGCGTCAAAGGGTGATGACACAATATACAAGGCATACACTTGAACATTTGATATTGGTGGGTTGAATATTCTCTAAAGAAACTTTAAAATCTGGCATTATGCTTAATGTTGCACATGCTCAATCACATTTGACTGCTATAAAATCTGTCATTTCAAAATGCTATATTGTCGATACTTCCTAGCTCCTAATCATTAATGTAGTGTACATGTACAGTATCCACTAACTGTTAGTCATGGATCCTGTTATATCAACAACTGATGAAGAGGTACTAGACACAACTGAAGCTCCTCCTTCTACTCCTCCCACTACCTCATCAATCAAATCTGATCTGGCATTAGTACCAACTATTAGAGACAAATAATTTAATTAAATGAATGACTGCTATGGTTATACTGTACATATATACAGTATAACAACAAATTTCTGTTTTTTTCAATAGTTGTCAGTGCTTCATTTTGCTATGACTTATATACTACAATATGTAGAATCAAGTGGATAATTTTTGTCAATCAAAATTCCTTGAATAAATTCTTGTCCAACTACAATCTGTTGCTACACAGTACTAGAGGAGTGTACATGTACATGAGCAATACCTTGATGAACAGTGTCCTTGCTCTTAACAAATGATCCATCAGACTCACTGCTACTATCATCCTCTCCCTCTCCTTCACTATTGGCCCCATCACTACTATCACTATGGCCTACAGCTACTCCCTCTTCTCCACTATTAGTCTCTTCCTCCTCCTCTTCTTCATTCATTAGTGCTTCGATGCAAACAAGAGAAAACTCTTTACGATATACGGATCCATAACGACTCCCTACACTGAACTCTCCTCCTTCTATCATTGAGAAGTGGTAAGGAAGACTGGGTGTGCTGACTGGGGCAATAAAGAAGCTAAGATATTTGGTTTGTGCTTCTCTGGTTATATTAACGCAGTGCTGTATTTCCAAACGT